CGGGGCGAGCCGCGGGCCCGTGAGCTGCGGCCCGGCGCGGCGAAGCCGAACGCGCCCTGGCCGGGCCCGCAGGAAGCGTTTCTCGTGCTCGTGTCCCCAGGTCGCCCATCAAACGGGAAGCGCTCGTTGCCAAAGTGACTTGTTACTTGGAGGCGTGCRAGTCAAGGGGCCCCCTGCTCTGCAGCCCCCGACTCTGCGGCACGGATGCTCCATGTGATCCCTTCCATTTACAGCGTGTTCAAGTGATAATTCGCTTAACTTACGTGCTGCTAGAAAGGCAAAGCGAGCGGCGGAAGTAGAAATTCATCCAAGCCCCATTTATGGATGAGTGGATCAGGAAAAAAATTGCTGTATGTTTGGAGTTTCCCCYGCAATAGAGCAATGTGGGGGGCTCTGTGCTTTTATTAAATGGATTTTTTTTTCTCTCCTGTCCTTTCACAAGTTTCAGGGATTGGGTATGGTTAACTTGTGCTGCGAAAGAGACAGAGTCAACTTCAGAATATATATTCTGAATATACATGGCCTTCAGAGGCCATACTCTGACAGCCGGTTGGAGATCAAGTGTAAATGTGAAGATTCTGTTCAAAGTGAATAGTGTTCAGCTCTTGTCACCAATGTCTTCCTTTTCTCCCAAACACTGGATGTAGTCCTGGCGTTTTACTGGACTAGCTTCATGCTTGACCTTGAGTTTCCACTGGTGGTGGTAAAGCTGAGATGCCTCAAAATAACTAGGACACACAGRTGATATGTAAAGACAACAACATTATAAGCAGCAATTTCTTCGTTCATTACTGCAAAACATCTAATGTTTTCTCTGTCTTTCAGGATCAAGCAGAACAGTTCTTTAAAAGCAGCCATACAAATAACTGGGCAGTCTTGGTAAGTGTGGTCCACGTTGGTGTCCTTCGGGAAACGCTCGTATCCTTCGGTCAGGCGCTGCGGGCACTCAAGAGTTCTCTTCACATGACAGAAATTCAAAGATGATGGCTCAGAAGCAGATACTGTGATTTGAAATTATCCCTTCAAATTTTACACACTGTATTAAAATTATTGTCTCAGTATAGTTACAGTCAGACACTGAGAATGGTCAGATATCTAGCAAGATTCATAAAACGAAAGTTATTACAGCATTAAAACAAGGAAATAATCATACTGTGTGGTGAATGTGACAATAGTGTCAAAGAGAAATGTTGCTCTTTGACCAGATAGTATACTTTTATTTATTTATTTGTTAATTTATTCCTATTAAATTGACTGCATTGTGACATGAGCCTTAGAAATAAATCAAATTCAGGTAATAATGTGCAGATCAATTGTTCTTTTCCTGTTTTCTTTTTTATTTGTTTTGAATTGTTTTATTAGCTTTGAATCATGCTACAGAATTAGTTCTTAATGACAGTTCAGGTCTTGGTGACTAGTTTGTTTCAGAACATGTTGTAATTACCATTTTTAGTAATTACTATTTACTAGTTTTTACTATTTTTTTACAAGTAATTACTATTACTAGTTTTACTGTTTCCACGCAGTTCAGACCTGGGATAATTGCAAAATCACTTCATTAGGAATTTGAATTCATTTGCTGGACCATGCATACCTATACATTGACTTGTTTTCCACCCCATTATAAAGGAGGTGATAGAGGAAGGGGGCAGAGGATAAGGTCTTAAAATGTTGCAACTTATTTGCAACTGAAAAGACAAGTGTTCTTGTGGGCTAATTCCTATGGGCTTTTGGAAACTAGCTAACGGAAGCAATAATTGAGAGTGAGGGGGGATTCTTTCAGGTACAATTTTCCTTGTCATTTAAGCTATTCTTTGCATTTTATGAAAAGGCTTGGAGTAAAAGATATTATATGGAGTAAGCTTACTTAAAGATATTCCTATTTAAAAAGAGTTGTGTATTTAAAGCTGAAAAACAAAAAGAAAAAAGGATACCTTAAATGTCATGTTTTCTCCCACTTCTGTTTTTGTGGCTTTAAATTGGCCCCTGCTAAAAGGCTTCTTCATCTGCTTGAAAGACTGGTAAAACAGCGGGAAACTAAATGTCTGAGAGGAGAGTTACTGCTCCTAGTGCAGAACAAGCATGAAGAAGTGAACCGGATRTAAGCACAGGGTGATGGAAAGGCTGGTGCAGAACTTACCCCAGTTGCCTCTAGAGATCTTGCAGTCTCATTGGCTTGAGCTTTTGTAATACGATTAAATAATACAAGACCAAGAGAATAGCTGAAGTCCTGGAATGCCTGTTTTTTTTTTTTTTTTTTTTTTTTTTTTTTTTTTTTTTTTTTTTTTTTTTTTTTTTTTTTTTTTTTTTTTTTTTTTTTTTTTTGAGAATTTGTGTTCACATGTTGGTTAGAGCTTGCTTAGCTCTTTATTGCAGTTAAGGACTCAAATGTAAAGCATCCTCAGTATATGCTCCCCTGTGTGCAGCTTCTACGTGAACTCATTTGGGTCTTTATGCAAGAATACTCCCAGAAAACTTTTTTTTTWATCCACATACGATTGCTGGATTATTCCCCAAGGGCCACTTTCTATACTTAGTTGGCATTTATGAGAGTTTTTTCATTATTCAATATGTTAAGAACTTTCTGATGTTTGTTTTCAGCATTTATTGCCATGATAGAGCTAAGGTTTGTATAGCTCAACTCACGAGTTTTTTAGTGTTGCTAGACTCTTTCTGATGTGTTACTGGTTTGTTGCTGTTACATCAGAAGGTACTGATTACTGTCAGTCACATTTGTATCTTTTGCACTGCTTAATATGCATTTATCTTTTCTTAAAATTCAAGGTGTGTACATCTCGATTCTGGTTTAATTACCGTCACGTGGCAAATACTCTCTCAGTGTACAGAAGTGTCAAGAGACTGGGCATCCCYGATAGGTGAGAGACTCTTGGTGAACCCAGTTGCTTGCAAATGTAAAGTTCTCTTGTCTGAAATGGTTAATCTGAATGGTATAATGGTTATCTRAAATGTATAAAATTATAGCTTGTCTCAGAGTATAAAAAGATAAAAGTAAAGAGGATGTGATCACATYCGTATATTGAAAAGTACAGTAATATTATTGAAAATAATTCAAAGCAAAAAGGAACAAGTTGTATCATGGAATTTCTAGCTGGAATAGAGTGATTAAAAAAGTAGAGCTATCTGACCTCTAAACTGTATCACTTAATAAATTGGTAACAGTATGATATGGAAATTGGTCAAGGCATTCTGAAGTGAAACTATTGCTCCAACACAGAACTTCTATTGTACTGTAATTTCCTTTCAGTGTGGAGATGGCAGCAGCCSTGTGGTTAAAATGTAAGACTTTCATGTCTTTAACTGCACTGAAAATCTTTAAACTAAAGCTGTTGAACAAAGAAGCTTTTACCTGTTGAAAGAAGCCTTGAAAAATCCATTTTATCTGACATTTTGAGGAGAAGCTGGGTGYTTTATCTATCCATGCAAATTGTGCTTTCTAAGCTATACCTTAGCACAATGGTTAAAATATTATTCTTACTCTGACAGCAGGATTAGACAGATGAATATATTAAACTGAGCTCTCTTCATAATAGTGTTGCTACTGAGGAATGTTTTTTGGATATAATTATTACTTGCATAAAAACTGCGAAAAGAAATTACAACCGTTCTCTGATAGTATTCCCAGCATGTCTAGACAATGAGGTAGAAGTCACTAGAAGATTTCCTTCTATCTGTTTTTGAAAATTTTGAGACTCTAAATGCAAGCAAACATAGTGCCGGGGCCCTCTAGGCTGAAAGCCACAGATGTGTGGCATTTTGGGGGTATATCATACAGAAACATCTGTCTTTCCTCTTAGATTGTACAAGTGGTAGCTTAGAAATTCTTTTAGTAGTTCTGTGCTTAGTTAAGGACTTTTCCCTATATATATCTTGCCTCACCATGAAGGTGGAAATAATGCAAAAATTGTAAAGTAGATGGAAGTTTCTGTTGTTTTGCCACATGGTCTGTTCATTACCCATACCCAAGGATTTGGAAATGGTTCTCAAAAAAAGGCACATCATTTAGACTAAGACAAGAATRAGATATTGGAGGAGACCTAGGAAGATAAATAATACATTTTTTTCCTCCTCTCTAGCAGTTTTCAAATGGATTTTAGTGGGTTTATCCCCATGAAAATTAGAAAAACTTTTGATTTTTTTTTTCTTTTGCTGCAAAGCTTAATTCAAAATGTTGCTGAGATGTTATGATTGTAAGTTACTCTGGTTTATCAATACACTTGATAAACTTCTCCACACTTCTCCAATTTGTAAGAGGAAAATTTTGTTAGAATAAAAGAGAACCAAAATGATCTGAGACATTGCTTTGGATTGCGGGAATCATTATCCAATGTAAGTGTCAAGTTAAGGCAACAGCAGTAACATAAGACACAATTGGATTACTTTTGTTTCACTGTTAAGCTACAAGCTAACACTTCAGGGTTTTGTTGTTTCCAGTTCATGGAGTGTGTGGGCAGTCCGTTCAGTTTCACAGCTCGGTTTCATGTGCAGGTGCTGTTTATCCACGGGGTATTTCACTTGCTTTTAAGGCCACCACTTGGTGTTCATGAAGCTGCAGGTTATGTTTACCTGTTGGTACTACTACCGTGCAGAGCTTTTCTCTTAGAGATGTGTAACTCTGCGATTTGCTTCTTTCTTTCCTCTTTTTTTCTTTAGGTTGTCACACACAGTCCTTGAAAATACTGATAAACTGTGGGACTAATGATGACTAGTGAGACATAGTTTGAAGTATTTTCTTTTAACTGTGATGCATAAAATGGTTATTCACAAGACTACCTCAATCTACAGAGCAGACACTTGCTTTATTTTCACTTGCTTTTTGACACTTGCTTCCAACTAATTTCATTTCAATATTTTTACCTTTCCTATTTATAAAAATGAAAGTGTACRGGTATGCATATGCAGGGGAATAAACCTGTTTCTTTTAGGTCACTGCCCTCCTTTGGATTCTGTCATTAGAGCTTACACTTAATGTCACTGTTTCACTCCTATGGAAATCAATTTCTGRTTATTTTGAGACTCTGCCTATGTTAGGTGGAGAACATGTGTGTTTGTGCAGCCCAGGGCATGTCAGCTCTTAGCAAACAGCACTGACTCCTGCAGAGCTCAGGGAGACCCTGCCATGGTACCAAAACGACAGGTCACAGTTAATTTTTAACTGTGTCCCATGTGGGTCAGGAATAGAGCAGAGCTTTGCTTCTATCAGCGTTGGTTGAGGGAACACCAAGATCACTCAGTCCAGGGGAAATTGCATCAAAGAATGAATAATCTTAGAAAAGTTCTAACTTTTTGCCAGAATCTGTATGTATTTTTTTTTCCTAATGCTCAAGGTCTCCAATCTGTTACTTGTTATTACATATTTTGACCCTACACTGACCATGTGAAATATGGATCTTGGCTGCATACAACCTAGGACAGTTTTATAATGTCAGTCCTCCAAATGCTAAATGTTTTTCCATGGTACTTAAAGACAACTGAGCAAAGTTTCATCTGCAGTGATGGGAATCTTCTTAGTTACCCACTATGGTTTTAGTTACAGGACACTTTTGTTAGCTGTGTTGGATGTGTATCGATGGATAAGTGAAAATAAAATGTCTGAAATAGTTTTGTCCTCTTTTCATAGTCATATTGTGTTGATGCTGGCAGATGATATGGCATGTAATCCCCGAAATCCCAAACCAGCTACTGTCTTTAGCCATAAAAACATGGAGCTGAATGTTTATGGAGATGATGTGGAGGTGGATTACCGAAGCTATGAGGTGATTGCCTTAAATATTATTTTGTTGTTAGTTTTGTTTTAAGGTTTCATAAAATCTATGCTATTTGAGAAAGTCTTTCCATTCTTATTACTGGATTTGGGCTGGGGTTTATTATCACCTGGTAGGTTTAAAATGTAGTAATGAATTTGTATTTAAAATCTAGGAAAGTTTTGTTGTGTGTTGGCTATTTTAAAGACTAGAATATCCACAATTATTTTCAAGATATATGAAACTCTTTTTGAATGCTAGGAATGTAGAGATGTTACTAAACTTTCTCTTCTTGGGGAAAGAGTTGGGTGGTTAGTGACACATCTTCCAAGGGCACCACAATTACCATTTTCAGCATGGAAGCAAAATGTTCGGGCGGGAGGTTTGCTTGCATTCTAAGCATATGCTTTTATYAATATGAAAAACAAGGCTGCTACCCATTATTGTGAGATATTAATACAGAGCAATAACCACTGTGTTTTTATTACCTTTTGTTTTTGTTTAATACTACTTCAAAAAGACCGTTTCTTTACCAGGYGATATTAAATCGGACAGCACTCACATTGGTTAGTAGAGCTATATAATTATTGATAAAGCAAATAAAGATTTATAGGAGCATATTTCCTTAACTAGTAGAAGTCTTGTTATATTTTTGATTCTTTATATAAAAAATGAAGATATAACAGAGAAATATAATGGAGATCCTTTTTATCTCTCTCTTTATTTTTTTCCTTTCCTTTTCTTTCCCTGAGCATGAATTTTGTGCTAGCATTTTTTGAGTTGCATACATCTACATGAAGAGCAGGTGGCCTTTCATAGAATGTTTTACAATCACTATCCAGATGATCTGGTCAGTCAAAGACTTTAAGTAGTAGAAGTTAATTTTGTTTTTTTTTCTTTCCTAAGTTGCAGAAGGAATCTAAAGTTTATTTTGCTATGGAAATGCACCCTAATTTTGGAGCATTTTGTGAATACACAAGGAGCTGTGGTAAACAAAGCAATGTGCTTTGGCAGCTTTTCAGATCTATCAAGATGTATTTATAAATTATGATGGTGGTAGACTGAACTGATATAAAAAGTAATAGTCTTGTGTTAGTGTGATAAAATGGAAGGTACTTTTTGTTCATGAACCTTATTGTACCTTCAACAAAAAGCTTCCATTGCTGCAGTTCTACAATCCAATATTGCATCTTGTTAGATGAGCTTTTGTATTTTATTGTTCTATAATTTATTTTGTAGAACCTAGCCTAGATTAATTGATCAATATGTTTGTATTTATGCTTCAATTTAAAGGTTACTGTGGAAAATTTCTTGCGTGTATTAACAGGAAGAATCCCACCAAGCACACCTCGATCTAAACGTCTTCTTTCTGATGACAGAAGCAATATTCTCATATATATGACAGGTAATCACAGGTTTGTGTATAAATTTTTTTGACTTTTGTGTTTCAGTAGAATGGGGCTGCTGAAAGCGTGAAATCCCATCAAGAGTCCAAATAAACATACAAAGAAAACGGGGTGAATGCTTTTGGTTGTTGTTTATTTAGCATGTCACATAATGATCAAGAAAACAGTGCTTAGCAAAGATAGTTTCCAGTCTAAATGAGTCACACAGCCTGTTCTTAATATCATAATATATATTTTTGTAGGGGTCTCTTCACTAACACTTTACTAACTTGTGTTCCTTCCTCCTTTTTTATCAGGTCATGGCGGAAATGGTTTCCTCAAATTTCAGGATTCTGAAGAAATCACAAATGTAGAACTTGCTGATGCCTTTGAACAAATGTGGCAAAAAAGAAGGTAAGAAAAATGTATTATTTACAGAGTGAATAGTCTATTTCGTGAGCACATATTAAGTCTAGGTGGTAAGTCACTGGTGCTTAGTTAGAAGCAAAGTATATATTTCAGTCTCAAGAAAGTTGTTTTGTTTCTTTCAGGTACAATGAATTGTTGTTTATTATTGATACTTGTCAAGGAGCATCCATGTATGAACGATTTTATTCACCAAATATAATGGCTTTGGCCAGCAGCCAAGTAGGAGAAGATTCTTTATCAGTAAGTAAATTTTTGTGATCCTGAAAGTGATTTTTCAGAACTCACCTGTGAGCTAAAAGCACAGGTCCTATTGACTTTCAAATAAGAATTCCATTTCTAGTTACTGAATGTCATATATTTAGTTTAGAGTCTACAAAACTGGTAAGTGTATTTTCCCTGCTGCTTTGTTGGGCTATCTGAGAACCGGGCTAGTTATTTTTCAACAACTTAAAAATTGTTGAAATATCAAAGATATTTCTCAATCTTTTTATAAAATATAAAACAACAGAAAACAAATCATAATTCAATGCATAAYATGCATTATACTAATTAAGAAGATGACTGCTCTTCGTTTGCATGCCACCTCATTTTCTAGAACTTGGAAAATCAGATTTGGGGGAGAGTTCTTACCTTCTAAAAGTGTGTTGTTTCAGATAATCCTGACCAGCTGCTTTTTGTCTGGGACCTGATTAACTCTGTGAAGTGAGCAGTAGCAAGGAATTCTGTATTGGACCATTAAAAAGAGTTCCCAGCCTCTTGTCGAACATGGGGACTGATGGGACATAATTAAAAAAGGAAGATAATTTTTATTTACACAGTTTAGCAGCAACGCTTATTCAAAGCTAATATTTTTTTTTTGTCTAATTTGCCTATGATCAAAAAAGTGATTATGTCTAACTTCTGTATGATGTTATTTTGTGGTCTTCCCTTCTCTTAAGTATTGGTTTCTTCCCAGCTAATGCTCAGTAACTACTATGTGTTGTTTTTAAGCATCAGCCTGATCTTGGGATTGGAGTTCATCTTATGGACAGGTACACATTCTATGTTCTGGAGTTCTTGGAAGAAATTCATCCAGCCAGTCAGACCAATATGAATGACCTAGTAAGTAGTATGTTTAACATTTGTGAGTGCAGAAATGCTTACCCTTTTTCAGAACAAATTTGTTTTGTCCATAGGATTCTGCAGAAGCTTTTTGTTCTCCTGCTTTTTCTCTCAGAAACAGCTTTAAGGGGAAGGGAGAGATTGCTGTTATCAAATGCAATTGTAATATAACATTTTGAAGGGTGAAACAGATATGTTGGGTATAGGAAAAATAACCAACATTAACCAGCTTTTTTTTTTTTTTTTTTTTTAAGGGTGAATGTGAAAATAATAGCAAAGAAATGTATGCAAAATCTGCCTACTAGGTAATAGATGTTTTGCAAATGTGGAAAAGCACCCATTGATACTCTTTTGCAAAGGTGGTTTATACAGTTAGAATTGTAACCGTACACTCAAAGTCCTGCAGAGAGTAATTGATTTCTCTGAGTCTCTACATAGCCTGCAGAGTGAGACATGGCCAATTCCAAACCCATGTTTGGAGTTTATTATTTCTAGGGTAAATGCTAGTAGAAGCTTTTAAGGTATGATGCAGAACTGCCTCCCTCCTGCATAACATATTTAAAAAATTATGAAAATGCCTTTATAACAGATATATATATGCTGGTGAGATGAGGTAAATAAAAAATAACCATATTTTATATGTGCTGTTACCCTTTCAACCTGTTCAGATATTAATTTCCCCATACTATTACAGTGATAATGCCCTGTAGTATTACGGGCTTTGGTGCCTACTAGCTCTGTAAAATTGGACATGCTCTATAAATGATTCAAGAGCAGCTGTTAACTGAGCACATTGTCTCTGATTCATGTCAATAAAATGAGCAGCTGCTCAAAAGTTCTGTTACCCTCTGTCTGCAAAGGCTGCTAGGTGTGTAGTGGAATTTGCTCTAAATAGTCCACACTTGACGGGTTTTATGTTGCTACAAAACAGATTCAGTGACAAAGATTTGAAATTCTTTTACTACCAAGGAAATGAGATTCTGTCTTGTAATTTAATACAATCGCATCTTGGAATACAGATCACTATAAAATGAWTYTTTTTTAAAGAAGAATATRCAAGAATGTGATATTAATTTATTATGTATCTACTTCTAAGATACTGTTTGAATGAATTGGCCAGAACTCTCCTCTTAAATTGAATTGCCAGAGAGTCACCAAATAACTTGCCAGGAAATGAACTCAGTGACAACAGCATCAATAATGAACAGTTTCAAGTACAGAAGAACCCCCAGGGAATTTGTATAAGTGTTCTAGCCAGYTAGATATTAATTCAGGTACCATGGATGTGAACTTGTAAGTTGGCCAAGTAGTTTTCACTTTGGACTCTTCATCTTCACATTTTTTCTTGTGTTAATRTGTTTCCTATGTCCTGAGCACTCAGGAAGAGCTGAGGTAACTCACCTCCTACTGGCAAATTACTTATGTTGTGCCTCATTGCTTTGCTAATCATTCCTATAGGAGAGGGAGAATGGGCACAAAAACATAATGATTTCTGATGGTAATATACTGAGCCATAACATGTATGTTTTTCAACAAGTGAGATTTCTTGTCTTTTAAGTTAGCTTTTTTGATTGCCATGATTTCATCTTAAGAGTTCCAAAATGACACRTGATTAGTCCACAGAACAGCTCATTTATTTGGAAGAATCTACAGGGGCTAGTTTTTGGAATGCACAGTTAGGGTTTTGCTGTTTTGAGAGCAAATAGATACTGTTTATCCAAGTCTGCTTTTTAAATTTAACACTTTCCAAACTGAAATCAACATATTAAATGGATTGCTAACTAGCTCACCCATGGAGTTTTAAAAGTGGTAGTTAATGAGTTGTGAAATGATTCTGATATGCCTAATGTCTGCTTTAAGAAGAGTGTAATAAATACCAAGTGCCTCTATTGCATCATCTGTTTATTCCTTTATCTAATCACTCTTAAAAGGCCTTCCCTTCAGACCCACCTATATTGTGGATGTTGCATTCTTGCAGAGAATGAGACATCTTTCCTCATAATCCACTCCACCTACTCCCCACCTGCTCCATCTGTGTTGCTAGGGGAACAGCATAAAGCTGTGCAAATGACTGATTTTGGATTTGACTGCATTCCCAGAAAAAGAAAAGACTAAATTAAAATGTCACATTTTTAAAACTTTTAAAAGAAGATTCAAATACATAAGATTTCTGCACAAGATATCATTTGCATTAAATAGCAAAAATTCTTGTTACAAATGTCAAAATGTCAAGATAAAGTTCCTCTTTTGAGGAATTGTGTAACTTTAAATAATATCTTGTTCAGATAGTTCGCAGAAATACGCATAAGAACTTGTCTTCATTTAGCCATCTTTTTGTCTGAAATAAAAGTGTTACCCTGCTGTGGTTTGTGTTGAGTCTTCTCTCTCACTAGTRCTGTATATTTGGATGTTCCACTGAAGTCCTCTTTCTTTCCTTAGCGCCACTGCAAATTCTTAATCATAATTTGGCTCAAAATTTTCTTGTGGTAGTAAATCTTTGTGGGACAGTTTGGAAGTGCTCGGGTATAGGTTTTGTTCCATAGTTTCAGTGCTGACGCTGTCTGGAACGCGCACGCATCTCAAGAGACTTTCAAATTACTCCTGGCCTGAGCCTGCATCTCCTCCCAGCCCAAAGCCATGCTGAGTAAAAATTGTTCAAAATTTACCACAGTTTTGCCAGAGTTTTTCTCAGTCAAAGCTTTGTTGAAGGTACTGTGCTAATGTATCTGTACTGCTTCTGCTCTGCTGTTATTCGGTGATCGTTTTGCATGATATAGGTGAGCTGTCATTAATGCTTCCTTTCTCTTATTTTATAAGACATAGTTATTTTTATTATACCTATCAGTTATTGATTTTTTTTTAAACAGGCAGAGATTTTTTTCCTCCTTTTTCTAGGGTCATACTTGTTAGATTTGTCCTTTATTTATTGTTTAACAAGTTTAATATATTGATATTTATTATAAGCAATGACCCCTAACCAAGAAAAATTAAAAAGAAAATGCAGTTCTTTTCTCTAAAGTAAATGCTTGGTATCTGGTCTGTCTTTCAGAAAGAACTACGCCAAAATAGCAAAATATAGCAAAAATTCTATTTCTGTGGGGMAGATGATTATTCTCTAAATATTTATTTTTAGTCTTGAACTCCAASTAGGAATATAAATCTAGCATTTAGTGATTTGGGGATTTGGCTGCTTTGAAGCACGGAAGCACTTTGTGGCGTATTGCAGGCTTCCCACTCTCACAGGTTTTGAAGGAGTAGTCAATTACATGTAGAAAACTTGCAATAGGTGACAGCCATTGCATATAATTAAAAACTTTCAAGCTCATCTCCAACTCAAAATAGCACATCATTCCAAAAAGGTGTCTTATCATAGCAGAAAAAGAAGTTTTCCATTGAAAAATTCTTTTAGYGGGTGATCAGTTTCACTCCTATAACACAATATGTCAGTTTTCATCTGACATTAGCTATGTCAGATTTGTATTATCCGTGTCTATGATTATTTGTGTATCTCCACAGCACTGGGCTACTTTGCAGTGTTCGTTTAAAAATGTGGGCACTTGCATTGGACATGGATGGATGGTCTCCTTAAATCTATTTAGAGCTATATTACCTATTTTCTTGCCTTTGTGCACTAGTGAGTACTTTAACCCATTTTGTCAAGCTTCGTTGAATCAATATTTACATTTCARAATATACCCTATATCCAGCTGATGGTATTGTCTAAGGATATTGAAAGAAAATGAAATTAGCTTGAAATGAAATTAGCTTGAAGTGATATAATTGTGAGACTTCAGCTTGAAAGATCTTGGAACATATTATTCTTTAATGATTATTGTTCTCCCTTTTTTGTTTTAGGGAGAATGGCAGTCAGTTCGTAAAAGGAATAGCAGTTGCACCCCTAACACTTTCAAACCTGCTACTGCAGCTGGTTTCACTAGTTTATGCAAGCTACAATAGAAAATTATTTTTAAGGAATAAAAACTGAATTTTGTGATGMATGGAGATGAGTGTTATGACTGTGGTTTGAAATAAAGTGTAATTTTGGAAGGAAAGTATATACTTTAGTTGAACAAACTAGTGATATAACTATATCAATAATTGAGATAATATTTGTATTTAAAGTTTATTTTAAGATTGATTACAGATTGTAAAAGAGGATGTTATTTTTAGTATTTTACTCCTACCTATTTGTTCTGCCAGAAGGTAGACTGGAAGTAGACTGAGGCATGTTCTCTAAATTTCTTTCTGGCCTTGGGAACATACCTGCTTTTTTGGCCAATATATGTGATTAAAATCTCAATYGAGACCAGTGGAGGTGAACTTCAGCTTCTGAAGCACAGTGATTAACCCCCTTCTTTGTGTGTGCTTGCATCACTTGTTTGTACAGATCTCATTCTCTCTTAAAATGCATTTGCTAATGGCAAAAGGGAAGTTTTAAATGTTATTCCTTAGGAATGAAATGGAAATACTTATCACAACCAGTAAGACAGAAGTTCAGTGGATGATCAGATGAGAAGAGCAGCAGTCGTATGTGCCTTTRGTAGCTAACATAAAGTAGAATTGGTTAACAGCCTTTGCTCTGCTCCCTTTCAAGCTATTTTTGACAGGGTCACCTTTGATCAAGAAATCTTTGATAGGAGGTTTGAGATTCTGTGGAAGGCTAATAGGTGAAAACTTCACCTATGGAAATTGTAGTGGAAATTCGTAATTTTTCAAAATCATTTGTAGTAGTCATATACTGTTTTGCTGATGTTACAGTCAATGATAGAGGAGTGAAAAAGCACTGCGACATTATAATTCTTCCAATGTTTTGTAAGCTTTCAGATGAACTTAATCACATAGCTGCAGCATTTATCTATACATCAAATAGAGGGATTAAAATTCTTAGTTTAGACAACATCAGAGCTTCACCTTTTTTGTTTGCTCTCTTAATTGGAGTTGAATAAAAGAAAATGCGGAATTGAAAGGGTTTCATTGAAGATGTGGAATTGAGAGGCTTTTATTTATRTGCAGTGCCAAATGTATGGAGAAGCTTATCTTTAGCTTTGGAAGCTACCTGCAGAGACAGATTGATGGATTGACAGATGATGTGTATTTTGTTTCCCAGTTTCAGGTGTGTCCAAAGAGTCTGTGTGTTTCTACACCTGGCCATCGCACTGATCTCTTTCAGCGAGACCCTCAAAATGTTTTGATAACAGACTTCTTTGGCAGTGTAAGAAAGGTGGAAATTACAGCAGAGACAATTTCCTTGGACCCTAATTTAACTGCCTTTGAAAGCAAGTAAGTAGTCATTATTTAGACTTGATTTGCATAGGTCTGTGTAACAGAAACAGAAAAGACTCAGCTGCCAAGGAGAGCAGAGATGTTTTTCTGTCTGTTTGCTATAGCCATGTCCAAAGACCCAGGGAGCCAGCAGAGCCCTGCAGGCTCCAAGAGSAGTTTTCTACAGACCTCTCAAGACAAACGTTACTCGGAGAATGAGAATTCTTTCCTACTCTTTATGGGCAACCATATTCAAAGACCCTGTGCAGTGTAAACATAGATTTAGCCATGAGATATTTCTAGAGACTTGTTTTTATTGCATTTCATACTTATTTAGAGCCATTCTGTCTACTTAAACAAACTTCTGGACTGTCTTTTAATGTGGAAAATGAAAGCCTAAAATTAGTGTGTTTTCCTTACATGACTTTGTCAGTGTGCATTTTCATAAAGCTGTTGTAAGTGGAATTTAAAAGTAGGAAATCTTTGTCTATATTGGCAGCAACAAATATATTTTTTCCTTCTATGCTGGGGTACAGTTTTACACAGAAAACCCAGAGGATTTTTTTTTTTTTTTTTTTTTGCATTTTTCTAGTACTTTGTAATTTTAAAACATATATTTTGCATTCTTTAAAACTAGCCACAGAGAAATTGTCATCACAAGGGTTTCTTGGAAGTGCAGTTGAAATTTTCAACTGCAAGTCCTACAGTGTATTCTTTTTATAGGTACTCTGTAAAAATGCCCTTAGTAATATGGTGCTAGCCTAAATCTGGTGGTGTTGTATCCTGTTCTTAACAAAGGAAAATTTTTAGTTTAAATCAATAATTAGTGAAAAATATAAAGGTCATGTAGTTATGAGCCAGTTTATATATATTCTATATAGAATATATATATTCTATATATAATATAGGGAATTATATATAKAKAGAGAATATATATAGATTCTAACTGATGTTATTACTTGTAAAGCTGGAATTTGTCAGCTAAAAACTTTCTGTTTAAAAAGTCTCATCCTGTTACTCTGTCTAGCGAATAAATACTATTAAAGACCAAGGTATGGATATCAGCTACGACAAAAAATGGTCAAAAAGGTTCTTTTTCTTGYTAGTTCTTGTGGAGAAATGTTTTATTACTGTAAATCCCTACTCCTTCAGGTAAGTTCTGAGTTTAAATCACCAGTTTGTAGATGTTCATARCGTGGTATCTAGAGTTTCTTAATAAATGCTTTATTTCTAATGTGCAAATTCTGCACATTCTTTTGACCTTAATTGCCATGGAGGTTTCTGTTGCTGTGATACAATTTCTTGTCTGAATAAAATTGCTAGTACAACTTAATTGCTAGAAGTTGTAACAGCTTCCATTAGTTCAAGCAGAAACATTTTTAAGCTCCTTTTATTTTTGGTATTCTGTTGCCACCTATTGGGAACATGTAAAGTGAGATGTGCTTGYACTGTAGAGTTTATTTAGCATTTTTTTTTATTTCTGTTGCATCTTCTACGTTCCATAAAACTCTTCTCTAGGAAGAAAAAAAATATAGATTCTTATATCAGAGATGTAATTTTTAACTCWTTTTTTTTGAAAATTATTGTCTGCCATGTAGAATAGCATTCCAGTCAAAGCACAAGTGAGTGAATGACAGTTCTGTAAATTTTCAAGAAMGATAACAGTACCTCTGATGCCCATAATTCAAAGTATTCATGCTTTAGATTATAAGTTTAGAGTAATTACTTTGYATTTTCATCTTTGTCACACATTAGTATCAACCATATCCATCTTAAGCTTATTCTGTGGCTCCCCAGTTTTGTGCAGCACTTAGAGTAAATTTGTTTCTTCTTTGAAGAGYGGAGGGAAAAAAAGACATCTTTGGCAAAGAGTAGACATTAGCAATCAAAAACTGTGTRTATAGCTGTGTGTATTTCTAATTTGTGAACAATTAGGAGGAACAGGTTTGATCTTCTTGCTTTTTTCTTCTGGAACAGGAAATGACTGATTGCAATCTTCAACTTTTAMTTTTGAGCTATTTTTTTATGGCAATTTATGAGCTTTTTACTTAAACACTTCTGAGTTGGGCACACGGAAGCAATGTTGAGAAGTCATACTTATGCACAAATGGGAACTTTATCTTTGTGACACTTCCTAATGTGTAATAGCTCAGGTAATACAGCTTTCGTTCCAGTTAACTGAAAGAAGTGAAATTGGAAGGGGTGGGAATGTGGTAATTTAGTAGATCAGAAGTTTCCATTCCTGAGAGAATTTTTTTTAAAACTCCATAGGCCTTGAAGCTGAAGCAGACATACACAACTTAAAGTAATTCATAGCATCTATAACATATAATTTGTTTTAAACGGTCCTATAATATAATGGTTATTCATCTAACTATATTTAGATACACTTTTCCAAAAATTGCTTCCATTCTTGGTTTCTGTAATTTGGGAGATTTTAAAAAGAGAGTATTTTTAATGAGGAAGAAAGTATGGACTAGGTAGAGATTGCTGGAAGACTGTAGTACATTTTTATAGATCATCTTAGTAAATTCCYCAAACAGATCCCTAGGCTTGTACCTAGGCAGAGGTTTTGCAGCAATGAAGTTAACAGTTACAGCTTTAAATGGAAAAAGAAGTTAGAAATACTTCATATAGGAGCATCCTACTTCAATGATGATGATTGGCCTCCTGAATCCTTTCTCAAAGGTGGTACGTAGAGTTACTGTATGCAGGAATTTGAGACTAGCTACTCATCGGATATTTTCCCTCTTCTACAACTTCTAAATCATGCTGAACTGAGGCAATGTGTTGCATGTCATTTTAATAATCACTTTTGGCACTTATTTGTAGCACGTATATGATAGTTATTTTACACAGGCTTAAGCAAAGGAAAAGAAAAGCTGAGGGTGTATGTTGTGCTGCTGATTTCAGCAGAAAACTTAAAGGTCTTAGGGATCTTGAGCTCAAGCTAAGGGCTTGACCTGTATGTATGTGTTTGTAAATCCCTTTCTAAGGTGAACCAAAAGAGGAAAACAWGGTGTGAAATAAATCCAGAATCCTGGAGAAGGAGCTATACAGAGTTTAGTTATTTCTAATAAATTGGGAATCTCTCTTTTTTTAGTTTGGATTGTGACCATAACCAGGCAGAATATTTTCTCTTTTTCAGCTCTTAACATGAGGAAACGATGCCTATCGGCGGGAAAGCATTGATAAAAAATGGGGGTGAATATTTCTCTTGAGGGTAGTAAGAAGTGAATTAAAGGCAGTGCCATATAAAACCATCTTAGTTTCATTACTTTTGAGAATTGGGCTTCACTTTTAATACTTCCGTAAAGAAGAATTGTGGCCTTACTAGCAGTAACAGTTTTCCTAAAATAAATAATTTAGCCTCTTGAGTTAAGAAGAGTGCTTGTGTAACAGAGAATAATTGTGGGTAATTGTTTTATTTGCAGTATGCTAGTGGCAAATTTGCTCTCAAGAGAAAAAAAAAAGAAGTTTTCGTTGTTTTGTCTTCCTGAATCCATAGGAATCCCATTTGCGGATCGGCGGGTAACGTGTTTACCAGGTGGGCGCTGCTTAGCTGCTGTTGGCTTTGTTTTGAAGTGGGAAAGGACACGTTGTTTCCGGACCGGCCCTAACTCCTACCCGGAAGAACTGAACGCAGAGATCCCAGAAGGGATTTTAGGGCCGATCCGGCCGGCTCCCGCTGCCGGGAACAGCCCCGGGGCGCGGCGGGGCCCGCGGCGCGATCCCAGAAGGGATTTTAGGGCCGATCCGGCCGGCTCCCGCTGCCGGGAACAGCCCCGGGGCGCGGCGGGGCCCGCGGCGCAGGCGCAAGGCGGGCGCGCGGCGGCAGTGCGCGCCCCGCGCCGCCAGGGGGCAGCGTCGCCAAGGCGGAGGCGCCGGCGGGGTGGTCCAGCCTGCGGCTAAATGCGGCTAAAGGCTAGTTTTTATTGCGTGGTTTTTTTTTTTTTTTTTTTTACAGGGTTCCGTAAATATGCCTTTTTCTTTGCTTAGATACATACACACACTGCTGTATTAATGTAAAGTACCTTTTAAGGCGATGACATTAATACACCAGCTATAATAGGACAATTCTACATTCTGAAGTAGAGTGCTTAGTGTAACATCCAAGGGAATGTAAATAAGGATGACTGACAGTATGGAGAGGAAGTGCTATAAATTGTGTTGGAAAGACTTTAACCATAAAATGTTACACTTGATAATTAAAATTCCTCTTTAGCAATATAGGAGATGGTATCTTTAGCAAGATAGGATGGCAGCACAATCGGGTTGTGCTGCTACTATTTTATACTGTTTTCAGTACTATGCTGCCTTACTGAACCTACGTGTAATTATTTGTACGTGTTGTTTCAATGGGTGTTAACACAAAAGCAAACTTCTTGATCTGTAGATGCACTACATCCTGGGAAATATGCCACAAAGGTCACTTTGGTCTTTTCCAAAGCATATACAAGCCCACAGAAATCTTTTTATTAACTTGAGTAGCTTTTGGACTCGATCCAAAAGCTACGTGCTATTCATAAGCAATTTCCTAGTATCAGTTGATTTACACACTAGTGTCAGTGGATCTAGTTAGTGTGAACAGGTAATGCCTGAGATTGTTATGTCACATTTAGAAGGAGGCTGTAAGTAAATCTAGCAGGTGACACCTGGATAACCGAGAACATCTGGGAGTTGTGGAATATTAGATTTTTTTTTTTTTTGTCTTCCTTTATCCTTGTGACCTTACACCTATCTTGCATACCATTCTTTCGTCTCATTATTCTTCACTTTTTCTCCTTTTTGTGATCTTAATTTTACTGTTAATGTATAATTAAGTGGGCTGCTCTGAAGTCAAGGGCTCCTGAAGTAYGCGTTAGATTTCATAGTTAGTGCTCTTTATATGGAGATCGTGGTTGGATTTTTCTGCCTTGCTGTCAGAGTGCTAAACACAAATTCATGTTTATTCGTAGACGTCCTTCTGTGGTTGTGCTCTGTATGTTACCACTCAAAAAACTAATGCAGACAACTTT